TATTGATCATTTCCTTCAATAGTAGTTATTATGGTTTATCTGCCCTTAGTCATCTCCTTATGGAGGAATATTTATATATTAAAATAGATATACAATATATCTTCACTCTAAAATAAGATGGATTTTAAGCAAGATATATATACACACACACACAAAAGATATTCAGCTTCCTGGACCTTTAAGCTCCACTAATCACTACTCCCTTGCTCTTAGGAGTACTTGCTCTTACTGTATTACATGGAAGAAGGGGTAAGATTCTAGAGAATCTTTGTAGTAACAAATTTTCTTCACGTAATCATACAAGATCACAAATAACATGCTACACAGGCCAAAGAAAACAACACCTTGCATCTAAATAAAATCAATGATGCACATACACCATACACCCACATAGCCAATTGAAAAGCATGTTGTCTTACTCTTCAAAAAAAATTACTAAACTAAATGCAGAAGGAGAGTCTAGCTTAGGTTGGATCTCAAGGAGCTAAATGGAGCAAGAATTCCTAAAGAGTCCTTAAGCCAGCAAATTAACCAAATTAACAATGCTTAAGTATCTGATAACAAGGGAAGAAATGAATGTCTGATTACTATCTTGAACTAAATATTTATGAATTTTTTATATTAAGAATTGGTTGCTAACGAACAACAATGGAATTGAATCAAGAAGACAAAATCACAAAAATTAATGTGGAATCCACCTGGAATTTACCTTCGCCTTCCTGGCTCACTTTCAAATAAGAAGATCTGGAATTGAACTCAAGAAATTGCCTAACAACTCGCTGGGCTTCTCACTGTAATCCTATGACTATAGCAATTACAGAAAGTAAATGATTCAATTCCGGACCGCTAAAAAGATGAATAATCCTCCTACCAACAGCCACAAATGTGGTCCGTCATAAAACTCAACACATCAATTGAAGGAATCAACCAACTCGATTAAATCCACAACTGATATGAACTCAGAAGAGGAGGAGTAAACCAACTCGGTCTTACAATAAATCATCAAATTAACAGATCCTAGCACTCACTAATCAGTTAATAAAAGCAATGAAGATTACAGAGTTCTATAATGAATTCAGCAACTCGTTTAACTCACTATAACTCTAAACTGAATCAGGGAGCAATCGATCTTCATTTGAATCAGAACAAGAGCTCGAGCTTGGCATCTTCTAGGTGAATCTGCTCAACTTTAGCCATGCATGTTCTAATCAAGCTCTACTGAAATCAGGATATGAGATGAAGGACCCATGGAGCAGCGATGGAAGTCGATGGTCGATGGGAGAATGAAGACTGAGTGTGAGACGGAGATTCACCAAAAATGAGAGGAATTGATGGGGAAGGATGAGATAGATCCCTTAGAGACTCGGTAGGTAGAGAGAATAAAGATGATTGAAGGTTGAAGTCAGTGACTGTGGGGTCTGAAAAAAATGTCCAAAATATGAGAGAGATATTGCTTTCTATCTTTGGTACTCAATCTAGAGTCAAGATGATGATGAGCTGTCCCCCCCCCCAAGTCTCCTCCTAACGGTTCCCAACAGAATCTCTTCATCCCTCAGGTTGCTTTAAAACACATCGCTTCATTATTCAGGATCTCCCTCCTATTTCACTTGGGTTAGGCCTAAACTTATTTCTGCTATTCCTAGCCCAAAATTGTCTTGCCATTTCTTCAGATCCAGAATTAAATTTCTTTCCCAATCCACCCCTGTAATAAATTCAAATAAAACCCAAGAAATAATTTCCAATCTGAAAATTCATTCAAAATACTAATCAAATATCATATTTGATCATATTCTCAATCCATGTGCATTAACAAATTATTTAAGCAATAATGCAAATATTATCTCATTAATTCCCTAAAATAGCCCCAAAATGCACATTTTAAACATATTAAGAATATGGTTTATCACTACTCGCTATCTATCACGCCCACATTCCAAAATAAATAGAAACCAGGGCATATTGTCATGACAAATATTATCATGTAAAGGCAACTTATATGTTCTCATGCATAATCAGCATAAAGGCACATCCAAGCATGTGGCAATCAATGCACAATCACATTAAAGGAAAAGAGTTACCACCTTTTGCTTTTTCTTCTATACTAACTTCCCCTTGCTTCTTCCTTGGCTTCCTTCTTAGTGGACTTAAACAAATACCAAATCCTATAAATTATATAGGTAAGGATAGATTAATATATATAGGTATGAGTATTTAAGTATTCTCCCTTTTCCCTCATGCTTCCCACGATCATACTTCCAGGGGTTACACACACAGGCATATATAGATATAGATATATATATATATATAAACGACAATTATAATACACAAACTTATGAACAAATTATCATACTCCTCTGGTATAAGGGTCTTATATTTAGGACCAGAAAAGTACATTAGTCTTTTCAGATATTTCTCTCATAATTCCAACTTCATATGCATCATTCTATTTACTATTTTAATGTCCAAAAATCTTGATTCAGTCCTCTCAATCAATATTCAAATTCTACATTAATTTCAACAACGTTGCTAATCTGTAAACTTTTTCATATTTCAATATCTATATTCACACTTTAATCAATTTCGAACAGTACCCCATGCTTCCAAAAATATTTTAATATGTCTACACTGAGCTTTAATCATCTTTCTTTCCTTCCTATAATACACGCCACACTCATAAACAAATCTGGAAAATTTTTCCAGGTTCTAAACATTCTCCCAAATTTGGAGCAGCCCCCTTTACCTTAGCTCTGAAAATTCTCTAGCTTTAAAACTATTTTCTTACCATCACAATAGAGCTTTTAAACTTGATCCAATAACTCAATATGCCAATAATAGTTGTAGAGCATTAACCCGTAATAATTTTTCAATTTTCCAGTTTGAGATATTGCCACTAAAATTCCAGATTTGACACACACAACACCCACCACTACAAGAATCTGGACTTTCAGCGACCACTTTCAACAGCGACAATAGTTGTCGCCGCTAAAAGTCGGCCTTTCTGCGGCGACAAGTATGTCGCCGCCAAAAGTGAGAGTTATGGCGGCGACTTATTATTGTCGCCGCTGTAGCTTCAACTTTCTGCGGCGACAAAACTTGTCGCGGCCGAAAGTGTGCACTACGGCGGCGACAATTTAAGTCGCCGCTGAATGTGGTTTTAGTGGCGACTAACTGTCGCCGCTAAATCTTCTTTTAGCGACAACGCTTCCTGTCACCGCTGAATGTCGCTTTCAGCGGCGACAATAGGTCGCCGCTGAATCCTCTTTCAGTGGCGACTCTTCCTGTCGCCGCTGAAAGTTTTTTCACATTTTTTTAATCTTTTTTTTTGTAAAAATTTTATATTATAATCTTTTATTTGCGTAATTAAGTAACTTTGATAATTAATGTTTTTTTTAATGTATTTTTGTGTTAGAGAGAGACTAAAAGAAAGATAATATGGTGTTTGAGAGAGAAAGGAAGAGGAAGAAAGTTTGGAGTGTGTGTTTAACACATATCCCATATCCAAATGTTTGAGAGATGGAATAGAAAAACATTATGCATGGAAGAGAAATGAGATCGAGGCATGCATGAAAAAGTATGCAAGTTTGATGGGATAAGTAATGAAATATAGAGTGTGTGTGTGAGAGGGTGAGAGGTGAAAGGTAGATGTAAGTATTATTGGAAGAGAGATAGTCTGTATGTGTGAGAGAGAGAATGATATTATAATTGAAAGAGATAACATAATTAAATATATGTGAGAGATTATTATAATTAAATTAGTGTGAGCAGACTTAATTGACATAATAATATTTGATGATGAACATATGTATGAGAGGATTGAGAAATAAAATCATTAAAGGAGATAATATAATTAATTAAAAATGTGTGAGAGATATAGATAATAAAATCATGTATATAGTTAATTAAATATAATTACTATTTATATTTTTAATTTAAAATGTGATTAATTAAATTTTGTAAAACATATACAGTTGCATATTATATATATTTTCTATTGCTCAATGGTTTCAATTAAATTCATTAGCCTGGCTGGCCACGCTTGTTCGTTTCAGTGTAGAGGTCCTGTGTTCGAATCTGGAAAATGCCCAATTTTTACACATTAATTTTGGCTCAAAAAGGTTAAAAAAAAATGTTTAATGTTAAACGGCTGGTTCGAACAGGGGACCTGGAAATTATAATAGCTAACACTCCCCTACCACTGAAGCCACGTGTGTTATTGGCAAGGCTGGCGCATTGTTTTTGTATCTAAAGTTTCTTATTTTGAAACCCAAAACAATTTAACCCGCCCTATAATCTTCTGAAAGTTTACTTTTCCCTCGCTCTCACCAGACCAGCGCCGCGCACGCAGAGAAGTTTCAAGCGTCCATCTGTGCTTAGTCCATCACTTCCAACGTTCTTTCTTGCTGTCATCCACGCAGAGAAGTTTCAAGCATCTAACTTCTTGTAGTGCTGTATTTTTCCCCCCTTCTTGTTCTGTATTTTGAGATCCAATTTTTTTTTCCTCCGACATTAAATTTCATAGCTGAACACAGAAGGTTGCGAGAAGCGAGTGGATCCTTGTTGGGTGAAATCGTTGTTGGAGGCTTGCAAGAACAACGATCGGGAACTGCCCTTGGTCGCGGAGTGCACGAGCTCCGAGCGGTTCAATCGTTTGTCGTGGGGAAAGAGTAGTTCTGCCTCTGAAGGTTTCTCCCTTGGGCTCGTTGCTGGTGGCGGAGAGAAGGCAGCGCAGGATGTTGAAGAATCGCGAATCAGCAGTGCGTTCTCGAGCAAGAAGATAGGTTTTGCACTCATCCTAATCTGCTCTTTTGTGCGTGGGTGTGTTTTCTTTTTTTGGGTTTTAGAGAATACCAAAAGATTGTTGAGTTTAGTTGAGTAGACACTAGTGCAAAATATTCATTTTACTACTCAATTTTACTTCTGTTAATTAAGGAACAGAAGTGATAGTTAATGTCTCATATTTTTGCTTCTGTTCGACTTTGAACAGATGCTATATATAACCTATGACTACTGTTGCACAAGTAACCGAAGTTGTAAATTACTTATGGCATCTGTTGCACAAGTACCAGAAGCAGTACATACTATATTATATATAAATTAAATTTTAAAACATAATTAAAGACATGTAGAGTCTGGTTGAGGAAGGACCTCACACCATAAAGCTTTAAAAAACAAAAAAATAGAGCCTCCAGGCACTTCATTCGCGTGGCCACACCTCTGCCCTACTTGTTCTTCAGCTTGATCGCCACGGGTTTGCTTGGGTTTGCTACTGCTTTGCTCATTCGCTCCATCGTTCAGTCGCTCTCGCCCTCTTCAGTCTCCAATGCTGTGACCACCATGGGTTTTGCTTATCAAGCCGTGGGTACTCGTTCCACTATTGTTTTGATTGCTTCTTCTTCCTCCTTATCTATTTTTCTCTACCGTGCTCGATTTTTGTTCTCTCACAGCTTTATCCACAATTCCTTCGTCTCTGACTTCTGTTGCTTTAATTGGACCTCAAGTAATCCGGCCTTCATGCCCTATCTCTCTTGTTTCTTTTTCTATGTAGTCATCAAAAAAGAATGTTACCTATTCTTTTGTTATCCATTCGACCTCGAGATATTTGTGCCAGCAATTTATTTTATTGGTCTCTAGCCTTCACAGTCTAATTGTTAATAAAGCGTTATTGTTGGTACTTGTGGTTTCTATATTCTGTCTTTAAGGACTATGGCATCGAAACGCATCTTGAAGGAGCTCCAGGATTTGTAGAAGGACCCTCCTACTTTATGTTATTTGAGTGAGCTTTTCGATCCCATTCTTATATTTCTTTTTCGGGCTTGTTGATTTTCATGATTAACAGCTACATTTGATAAATCATATTGCAACCCTTCCCCGCCAATAGCAAAATAGTTTGAACCTTCGTTTTCAACTTTTTTTAAAATACGGATTCTATGCAAATGTTTTTTAAGATCGTATATGTTAAATAAATCAATTGCTATTCTATGCAACTTTTGTTCAATTAACTCAGAATTTTTGGTCAGCAAAATTTTCATGTTCTCTTTTGTTCTTTGATGCTCTGTAGGAGTGAATTGATGTTTTGAGAACCATGCAATTTGAGTTAAATATATTTTGGATTAAGTCAAAGGCTGACAATAATAATAAAACCTATAACCCAATTTGATCTTTCATATATTAGCATGTTTTAACTTTGATTAATAAACTACAGAAGTGAGAAGTTACAAGTAGAGTCAGTTTTCTATAGTGTAACGTGAGAAATAAGAGAAACTGGTGGGGCAAGCAAAAGGCATATCAGAATGTCATTGAAAGAAAGCGGCAGCGACTGATGATTGGATGCTATTAAATAGGACTCTTATATAGGTTATATGTCGTTGCTAATTGTACTAGTGTTATATACTCATAGGTACTGTTTGTTTAATTCTCTTAAGCACGTAATCTTTATGGATGCCCATAATCTGTTTACTAACACTATGGCTAGATGATCTGACAAGAAAGTTAACTAAACCTGCAAGTTTTTCATTTATGATTGTTGATTTTCACTGACTTCATTGACTGCAAAGTCAAGGAAAAAAAAAGAGACATTGCTTTCTTAGGGCTCTTTATACTTGATCATAAGAAATTTCTTCCTTGATTTTATATTTGAAGGCTACAAGCAAGATACTAATTAGTGAGAAACAAATCAAGATGTCCATGAATGGTATGTCTTCAATAATTAACAAAAGCAGTGGCCTAATGTTTGGTGTTCTTGATTGCCTTGTTTAGTGTTTATGATCAAGTGATTATTTATAATGCTTGTCTGGTTATACTTAATGTTTATGATTTATCAGTTATCACTAGTGCAAAATACTGATATAACTACTACTTTTGGTTTAGATGGGTCTTTGATGGGTCTTGGTTCCTTCTTCGTTCTATCTTTGTTTGTGATCTCTTCACTTTTGACAGCAGTTGCTTCAGTCCAAGTAAGTTTTTGCTCATGCTAATCATTTTGGATTCTTGCTATAACTTAAAAAAATAGTTTATCAGTTGAGGAAAGTTAGATTCTTGTGCTGTTTTATTAAAAAAATTTGTTCTTGTGTATCTTATATTGTTGAAATCCTGTGTTGAACTGTGCCTAAAGTTCAAGTACTTACTGAAATCTATGTGGTTCTTGTTGAAATTTGTCTTCTTCTTTTTTTGTGTGTTGAATTTGCTGAAGTGTGGCAAGTCACTGCAATATTTTTGCTTTTGGCACCAATAAATTTAACAAGTAACAGTTTGTCAAATGACATTATCTAAGGAAATGAATATGAGTCAAAAATAGAGTTTTTATAACGAGAATATATATAATTGTTGTTGGTGTTCGAATGGATTACAGGGGATTATTATATATATAAAAATCTGTTTCAAAAATCTGATTTGAATAGATTATTATATTAGAGCAAAAATCATTTACATTTTAGAGAGTTAAATCATAACAATTTCATACGTCTGTGTGTGTGTAGGGACTAAATCCATCTACTCTACCTAAACTCTAACCCCTGTTTCATGAGAACGTACGCACCCAATTGTATGAAGAGTTTGAAAGAAGATTTCAAGAGGAGCGAGAAAAGATGGAAGCAAATTTTGCTGCAGAGCGAGAGAGGATGGAAGCAGAACGTGCAGCAGAGAGAGAAAAGATGGAAGCAGAACGTGCTGCAGAGCGAGCAAAGATGGAAGCAGAGCGTACGCAACTTGAACAAAGGATGGAGCAGTTGATGGAACAGAGAATACAAGCTCAGTTCATTGCTTTCATGCAAAAGATGCAGTTAAATGCTCCTGCAGATACCCCTACTTCTAGCGTCCCTAGTATTGATCCCTCTACGTAATTTTTCTTTTGTATTATGTAATGTATCTTTTAATTGAACAATTTTTTTTTCAGTTAGAGACATAAAGAACACTTTGATGGTTATAAATCTTATTATTTAATATACTATATTTGTGTGTTAATTAATTTATTTTTATTAAACCTTTTAATAATATTTATCAGCAATATAAATAAAAATTTTTGCATAATTAATATATTATAAAAATAATTAAAATGACAATCAGCGACGACAACAATGTCGCCGCCGAAGCAACCTTCAGCGGCGACCACAATGTCGTCGCCGAAGCAACCTTCAGCGGCGACATTGGTCGCCGCCGATTCTCATGTTTCAGTGGCGACGTTTCTGAGTGGCAAACTCATCAGCTTTTAGCAGCGACAAAATGTCGCCGCTGAAAGGAGTTTCAGCGGCGACTTTTTGTCGCCGCTGAATGTCCAGTTTTAGCGGCGACTTTTTTTGTCGCCGCTGATAAGTTTCAGCCACGGTCGCTACGGCAACGACTTGGTGGCGACAAAATGTCGCCGCCGAAGCTTTTCAGCGGCGACTTTTGGACTTTCAGCGGCGACATTTGTCGCCGCTGAAAGTCAAATTTTTTGTAGTGCACACACATACATAAATATATTACATCTCCTACAACCCCAAGATTCTCAAACTACCACCAAACAAACTGAACATCCTTATTTCGATAACTAAAACCAAAGCACTCAACTATACAAGCAAGTACAGAAATCCCAACCACAAACTCCATCCTCACCATTAAGCACGATTTCTATAGCTTGGCTCTCATGCTCTTCACTTTCTCTCTCAAACCAGATTTCATCTTCATCATCACCTTGCAACACATGCCCAAATAACAACAAACAAAGACGGAAGAAGATTCAAGAGACTCAACTTGTTTGATTTTCACCTTTCTATGAATCGATTCCCTCTTCCAATAGCCTTACCCCTTCTTGATCTCTCTTGAACTCTCTCAGTTCTCTCCCCCCCCCCCCAATTTTCACTTCGAACAGCGGAGGAAAAATGAGAAGGGAGAAGATGTTAGGGCAGATTAAGTGGGTGAGGGGTATGGAATGACCATTATGCCCTTTGGTCTTCATTTTCCCTTCAATTTGATTCTTCTCTATTTTTCTAGGATAATCAAATAATTCCACAAATCAAACATGGATATTTTATATAAATTTTCTTCCTCCATTAACTTCTTTAGCCCATAAAATAATTATCCTAAAAATCTCAGCTCAAAAATTATCCTCTAACTATTTTTCCTTGAATTTTCCAAGAAAATAGTCCTGAAATTAACTTTATAATTCTTTAGACCATATTTTAAGGGTCTTAATCTCAAAAATTTCTCTAAAAATTTTCTCTATCATCATGCTTTACGTAACTCCATAAAATTTGTGATATTACACCGCTATTGGTGATATTGGAGGCGACAAAGTCTGCTTGTTGCTCTAGATCCTCCTTGATTTTCTTTGAACAAAGAAATAATATGGAATGCATCTACTATCTTTTTTAAGAGACAAATGAAAAACAAGAATTCCAAAAGTTTGAGAAGAGACAAATCCTAACTTCAACAGGCTTGGTTTTAGATTAGCTCTAAATTGACATCTTACTATCACAAATACCACAATCTCCGATCTAGCTAACCACTTACTGCTCTTTAGCATTCTTTCGTGCTTGCGCATGGTAAAACCTTTGCCAGCTAAGCTAAGAAATACATGCAAAATTTTTATGCAAAAATATATATAATATTTCTAATTACAAATACAAATATATATAATAAATGTTATATTTATAATTTAATATATTATTATTTATTTCAATTTATTTTTTTATTTTATTAAAAATAATTAACCATTAATATTTTTATTCAAATATTAAATAAGTATTTTTTATTTTTTATTTTTTATTTTTATTTATAATATTTGTATTTTTATCTATATAATATGTTATTGAAAAATTGTCATATATTATATTTTTATTTTAATAATAAATACTAAAAAATATTATATATTTATATTGTAATTTTTTGTGATAGATTAATAATGGAATAGTGACAAAAATTAGTAACAGAATTTATTCTGTCACAAAATGTTATGTGGGGAGTTAGGGATAGATTAGCAATAAAAATTAATGACGGAAAATTTTTTATCATTAATCCATCTCTAATTCAATGACAAGATTAAATTTTGTTACTAATCCATTACTAATTTAACGACAAAAAAATCCCGTCACTGAATTCTGTTGCTAATTTCAGTGACAGAATTTGTCACGGATTCGCTAAATTCTGTCACTAATAATGCCTTATTTTTTCAGTGTTTTGGTGAGATAATGGCTTGACAGCTAAATATGATATTTTCAAGATAAATGGATACCGTGAATATCCTCTAAATAATTAAAACAATGTGGTAAAGAGATATATGTGTGTGTGTGTGTATATATAAAGGATATGATTATTAGAATGCATCAAAATTAGATTTGATCAAATTCAAATGAATTCAATGGATATTTGTAGGATAATTGAGTTTTTTAAAATTTATTCCTAAAGATAAACTAATAATATCTTAATATGTCTTTTTTAAATACTCTTGAATGTCATTTGGGATTTGGTTAATCATGTCCAGCCCCAATTCAATTTATTTAAAAAAGACAGCATGATGAAAGTGAAAGAAAGCATTAGGTGCAAGGGCAAAATGGACATTCTGCTCACTCCCGCACATGCCTCACGTGACTCTCCACCCATTTAATCCATCTGCTCCTTCTTCCTTACCATTTCGCACCTGGAGATTGAAAGAAGAGAGAGAGAGTCGAGAGAGATAGAGAGATAGACCGAGAGGAGGAGGTGATCGGAGGTGTTGAAGCTACATGCAAGAGTGATTTTCGGTCAAGGTGAGTCTCTTGATCAATCTCCTACTCTTCTTTTTTCATTCTCTGCACGGTTGGGGGTTTGAGGGACGATGGAATTTGGGTGCTAGTGAGAGAAAGTGAGTATCTAAATGGATTATGGGTAGGAGATGTTTGATGGATGTTTGATCATGTAAGTGATGCTGTTGCATGTTGATTTTTGTGGCTGAATGTTTGCTTCTCTCCTCTGTTTTCAAAGGCTGAGACAGGGATGCTACTTTCGCTGGTCTATGGTTCTGGGTTCTATGGGTTTGAGGGAGGAGATGTGATATATAGGTATGTTTCTGCTCCATCCTATGTAAACCGTGACTGTCGGAGTATGATTCCAAAAGCTGGAAAAAAATTTGCAGATTAAGAAATGAGATGTATTAGAATGTTAAACAAGTGACGTATGTAGAAGAAGTAAGAATATTTTCAGTCATAGTTGCAAGATATAGATATATATATATATATATGCATATATATTTATATAACCGATAGTCTATGTGCTGTGAGATTAGGAAGGGCAGGGCGTGATTAAATAAAATACATGTGAGGTTCCTGTCAAATTGGGATGACTTATGGAAGTGAAAAGTAGTATGCGTTTATATATTTATATATATTTATATATATATATATATAGATATATGTAGATATATCTGTATAAACACGCGCGCGCACGATGAGCGGGGAAAGAAACGGGTAAAGCTTGGAATGCAATGAAACTTGAGTTTTGAATGTTGGATCTGGTTTTTATTAAATTTGGGAAATGCCTCCAGATTAAGCATAAAGTTTCAAAAAATAATAATAAACCAAGCTGTGATCAAGTGTAACTGGTAAACATAAGGCAGTATCTACTAATTATTTGCACAGTATTTATTTATTTTGTCTATCTGTCATTACGCATAAATGTTTAATTACATTAACTTGCAAGGTTATGTTTTACTTTATTTTGGCTTATTTTGCATGTTTTGTGTAATATGTACATTTGTTTGATAATAATTTCTACTGCGGGGATTTTCCAGAATCTCACTTTCCCTTCCATGTGATACAGCCAAGGTCAATAATAGCAAAGGAAAGGAAATTGCAAGAGAAGAATGTGGGCTATAAGAAGAGCAAGAATGCATGCTTTTTTTTTGGGCAAATTTCACTGTAGGACCGCAGAAGGCAATTAATTTCAAAGAGCTCCCAAAACTTTCTGAAATTTCACTGTAGGACCAAGGGGGCAAACTGATATTAATTCCACAAAGAAAATGACCCTATTGCCCCTCATGTGAACAAGTATGGGAGAACCCATTTGCAAGTGAGGTTAGATAATTTACAACATGCATAAATATATTTACAATTAAAATTAGTCCATTTACATATTACATTCTTCACCTGAAGAATGTGTCTGAGTGAACAAGTGTGGGACAGCCCATTTGCAAGTGAGACTAGACAATTTGCAACATACATATATTTATTTACAACTGGAATTAGTTCATTTACATGTCACTTCGTTCACCTGAAAAAGGTCTCCGTGAATAAACAAGTGTGGGAGCGCCCATTTGCAAATGGAATTAGTCAATTTGCAACATACATACATTTATTTACAATTAGAATTAGTCCATTTACATATCACCTCATTCACCTGAAAAAGGTGTCTGTGAGTGAATAAGTGTGAGAGAACCCATTTGCAAGTGGGACTAGTCAATTTGCAACATACATACCTTTATTTACAACTGAAATTAGTCTATTTACATGACACCCTGCAATAAGTATTATGAGGGGCAATAGCGTCATTTTCTTTGTGAAATTAATATCAGTTTGCCCCCTTGGTCCTGTAGTGAAGTTTCAGAAAGTTTTGGGGGCTCTTTGAAATTAATTGTCTTCTGCGGTCCTACAATGAAATTTTCCCTTTTTTTTTGTATAAATACACAAATATTTAATTATATCTATATTTTAGTTATTTTGGCAAGCAACAAGTACTTGTTATATATATATATATATATAAATATATTTTTGCATCCTCCATAAGAAGAAGAGCACTGTTGGGTGTAAGTAAATGTTGTCGACCAAGACAATTGTTATATTTCAACATAATATTATTAGATTTCATAGTATGACATCATTCTAGGTGATAATAGATTAAATTGAAAGTAGGGTTGATTGTGAATCACTCGTCAGTTTTTCTAAAAGTTTAAATTATTATCACAATGAATTCTAATGTTACTTTTCAAGTCCAACTCTTGTATTGAGATTCTAGTTCTAATTATTTATGTTTTGAAACAAATAAAAACATATCCTATTTTTCCCAACACACAAACCTAACGTTTAGTGATTTATAGACATTAAAATAATCCTACTAGTACATAGAAAGTTAGGTGTTGCACATAGCCCCTTTGAAAGCTTTCTTATCTTATCTCTTCAATGTGGGCCCCTTTTGGTGCAAGCCGAACGCCTGCAATGCATATAAATAGATGATAGTCTTTGGTTGTTCATGTTGGGCCTTACACAATGTCTCCGGCCTCGAGTTAAAGATCCATAACAACTCCTTCGAAAGGGTTCTTCATTTAATGCTTTTTTTTTTTTTTAGTTCTTGTCGTTGCGGTTCTAATTCCTCTTAATAGATCATGCAACGGAGGCTGTGGTTCTGGAATCTTATGAAAGGCTCACACTCTCCATCAAAAAGCCTTAAAGAAAGTATTTGATTGCAGTTGAGGTGCAAAGCCCTATCAAATTCGAATCCCAGATTTTAAATTTATTAGCCACAAACAATAATATTTTTTCCATAAATTAGTTTACTTTATAATAAAACTCAATCCTAACAAAATTATCCTTTTGCAAGGTAGGAGTTGATGATAGCAATGAGACGAGACGAGCGATGAGAGTATCTAAGGGAGAGGAAGAGTCGAGGTGTTACAGTTCAGGTAAGATAAGAATTTTTTCTTTAAAACTTTGACTTAAGAAAAAAAGTGAGGTGGATCTATTAATGAAGAGTAACATTGCTGCGTTTTAATTACTTTCAAGGCAATATTACTCTAAAAAAAATTCCTGATAACCAGTACTTTTTTATAAAAACTTTCGAGACAAAAATGAACTAATCCTATTCTATTGGCAATGTTTCTCATATCCTCCATGGTAACCATTGTTTGGTTTTTTGTGAACGAAGTGGTGGTGGTGGTTTCAGCCATGGGAGGTGGATGTTCACTAGCAATTAGAGGCTTAAAAATTTGACTCACAAGTCTCCAAATATGCATATAGCCTCACTTGGCGAGTGATGCGATTATTTGGAATAAATAGTCAAAATCAAAAAAGAAGGATCAGTCTATTATTTGGGCAGCAAGTGACGTAGAGGTATATGCTGGTGGGTCGGGCTCTGAACAAAGATATAGTAAAGAGGTCTTTGGCAGAGGACGGCATAGTGCGGAGGCGAACTTGCATCCCTACTTTGGAAAAAAGTACAAGCAGGAGAAGAATATTTTACAATTTTGCACACTCGGACTGAAAAAATATTAGGTCCGACGACTTATTATTAGATATGCAATATTTTAACTCAAGTATTATGATAAATTTAAATCCAGAATTTTAATATTACTAGACCCAAACATTAATAAAAACAATTTTTTCAAAAATTACCTTAGTTTATAATAAAACTATCTTAGCAAAGTCATACTATTGTATGGTAGTTTTTTTATTTTAAAAAAAATATTAAATTGCAAATCTGCTCAAGAACTTATACCCAATTTCCATTAAACACCAATGTTTTTCTTGCATGCAAAACTACCTATAGACATTATAAACTCAAACAAGAATGACATTACCGTTGAAGTAACTTAGCAACATTGACAGTTTACTATGAAGAGTGTGTTTTGACCAAAAAAGTTGACATGGATGCAGATGTGGTAGAGTAATTTGTGTTTGTACCCCTTTAAATGATATTGAATTGAAATATTAAAAATAAAAGTTTTCCACGTGAAAATTTTTTGTGCTTTTTGGGAAGTCTCTTTTTGTTTCGGTTGTTGGGCTTTGGGGATTTTGAGGATTGTTTTGGTGAAAGACTTGTGCGCGCATAAAGGAACTGGGAAGGTCCTCGACTGCATTAGTCACAGAGGTTAACGCCTTAGGCACAAGTTCGTCAACGAATAACGCATTAATTGGCTCAAAAGCTTAACATCTTAGGATTTTCCAAAGACAAACTCTTGATTTTGGAAAGCATATGGATGACACATTAGTCGGAGAATTAAGCATTTAAGACTAGATACTCGATCTTGGAAATCCTTCACAATGAGGCTAACTAACGTGTTAGACAAAAAGACTATCGCATTGGACTTTTTTCAGAGTACAAGCTTATTCCATGAAAGATGATGAACGCGTTAGTCAAAGATATCAGTGTTAATAGACAATGAAAGTGAAGGAATAGATAACCGTGACTTGGATAATGCATTAGGCATATGGCTTAGTGAGTTAAGATTTTTCCAGTTGGCCAATAGGCTGTTTGTTAAGATAATAAGTGGTCTTACTTCTGTAAGGAGAAGAATACAAGTTCAAATCTCAAGAAGTATACTTGTTGAAAGGGCTTTAACCTTAATACTCTCAACTTGACAAAGATTAGGTTTAAGTTCAAAGTAATTTGGAGAGACTCTGAGTTTATTTTAAAAGAAAAAAAAAGTTCAAGTCAAGAAGAAAGGAACATGAATTCAAACATTAGTTATCACGTTAGTGAAGAAGGTTAACTCGTTAAGCACACAGAAAATTCAGAATAATCAAATTGAAGCATTTATGAAGTTTTGCAGACAAGGATATTAACTTTCAATTTTTAAAAGACTAAACTACATTATAAGCTCTTGTCTTCTCTTGAGATCTTCTAGCCTTGATCCAATGTAATTATGATTTTACTGACCCTGCAAAAAGGGGGGAAAAGAAAGATTTTCCTTTAGTTTTCTTATCATCAAAATAAAGTGGTTCAACAACATGGAAGCCTGAATATGCACAAAAGTCATCTGTGCGTGCCATCAGAAACTAAATGAGTCTAAGTTAATGCCTTAATAAGCCCAATCCCATTTCTATATTTTGCTGAAGGTTAGGAATTATTTAAAAGAATAATAAAAATAAATTAGAGGAAGGGTGGGAACAATTATGTTCCGCGATCAACAGAGGGAGCGTGGGATGTTAGTTTTTTGTTGAATTCTGAAACTTCCACTCTTCCCCCCCCCCCGGTTTTTTTTTTGGCCAACCTGATGCTTCCACTCTTAGATCTTGTATTTTCCTCTCTTCGGTTTTTGTCTTCATTCTCCTCCTAACGTGGTGAATTTGCTGTGCAATTTGAATTAAGCCTTCTTCTTTTTTTCCTGATAACAATTGGATTTAATAAAAATATATTACAGATTAATATTGATTTGATTAGCATCTGATGTCAATTAATATGAGAAGCATGTGTCCTTCAAATTAATAATATAGATGCAATATACGCAAAATGGATATAAATGAATATATAAGGATTAGTACATGAACAACTTGTTTTTTTAAACCAATACAAAAAGAGAGAAACCGAAAGGTTGATCTCATCACTAGAGAACAATATGACAGACAATTTATTCAAGGGTTCTATTTCTCTTCAGGTGCCTTAAAGTATAACTCTCCCTAAGTACACATGAAGTACTAGAACCTTTTGTGAAGATGGAGAACCTGTCACTAAAATACCCGGCGAGAAGCTTAGCCCCTTATCGAAATAAAAGTGAAGTACTTGATACATATTTTCTGCAGGAAGATATATTATTATGGGCTTATATAGTCTAAATGGTTGAAGAGAGCAATTAGAAGGATAAACGAGATCTACCCAACTTCTCTTCTACCACTTTGGACAATTTCTCTACCATCCAAGGTTTAAAATGATTAACCCAATCACCTACCTCACCTTTCCTAAAGAAGACCTTGTTTTCATACTTTTCCAATATTTTTCCATTCTTGTTCACTTCCAATTCCTTCATCTTCTCAAAGCTACACAGCTCAATAATGCTTTCAATAACACCATTGCCTTCCTCCTCCGAGTCAAATGGGCAACCCAAGAACTCAGCAATTCTTTTCAAGTGGAACTTGATATCTCCTTTCAAATCTTCATACTTTAAAAACAGAACCTTGTCTGGTGTCTCTATGCTCTCTCTCCAATAACCCAAAATATTGGTCCAAAATGGACCAAACTCATTGATTCCCTGGGAATACCTCTCTAACGCCTCTTCACAAGATAATCTGAGCGATGTTGATGCTGCAACTGCATTCTTGAAAAACCACAGAGATACGAAATTGTCAAAGGGGTTACGACATATATAGATTATCTTGCATTTGGACTTGGAAATTGAATCAGGCAAAGAATGAAATGAAACATGTGTGCCGAAAAGTCTTGGTTCTGGCAAGTTAGAGAGATCTGGATTCTTCTCTTTGTCATAAAGATGGAACTCAAAGAAAGGCACAAGATCATGGGCATTGGAGATGAGTAAAGGATGGTTTTTTTGTGAAGGAGAGAAGCGATTGCGACTTACTATGGCAAAAACAAGGGCTTTCAACCAAGTAGTGCCAGCTTTTGGTAAGGAAGCTATAACAATATCACTATCTTTTGCTTGGAATTGCTTTTGAAAAGTGTATATGGCTTGGATTCGAGCTGGTGAAAACCAAATGTCCTGATAGAGATAAATGTAAGGAACACTCCAACCCTTCTCTTTGGGAAGAGAGCGAAGCAAGCTCTTACATTCTTGGCTAAATTCTTCACATTCTTTCTCTCCAGCTTTGTTCTCAAGACCAACATTTGGTTGGTTTTCTGTGAAAGGAGTTGTAGTAATCGCGGCCATGGGAACACTGATGATAGTTAAGTGGTAATAGGCATATAAGAACTCTAAGGTCTCATATTTCGATTATTTATAGAATCACTTGGCAATTAACTCTTGAAACTATTTGAAATGAACACGGGGAAGGATCTGTCTGTCTATTTCTTGAAAATAATGCATTGCGTATGGAAGGAGTCGTTTGCTTGTTGTGGCACAAAATCATTAAAGCTTCTGAATCATATTCCAATGGAGGACGTGGTTTAATTAGCATCTCAGAATCTTTCATTTAATGGGTACATTAACCTTCACGACAAGGTGTTTCCTTTACTATTAAAGATTAAGGTACAAATTTGGCCTGCAAATTTTTATTTGGGAGAGCTAGGCATGGGAAAACTTTTTTTGAGTGTAAATTTACCCTTAAAAGTTTAAAATCGTAACAGTTTTACCCATAAGGTTAAAAATATTAATAGTTAATATCACTATTTTAGTAGTCAGTATTAGTTTTTTAATATTAAAGAGTAATATTACTATAATTTTAAATTTTTGAGGCAAATTTGTCCCTAAAAAACCTTTCAAGTACTCAATGCTCCTAAATGAAAACTTATAGGATAAATTTGCACCTTAACCCAATCATTAATCACTTCTTACCTTTAATGTTCGAGCTTCTCAATATTTTGTCCTTTCAATTTCCAAGTCCAATGTTTATTTATGATTCCGATCCTTTTTTAGTGATGAAAGTTCATGATTCCAACAGATATGAGTGACTCAGAATTAAACAATTGATAATTTAGTACTCCTGCAGCTTGTTCCATTTCTTAGTTATATTTCTTTGATTTCCTTTTTGCGTAGAGATTTTTTAAAGTGAATACTCAACATACGAAAAGAAGCAAGATGCCAATTTTAAGACCTTTCTTTTTGTTTTATACATTTTGAGACGTATTTTAATTTGGTGTACAAGTCTAATTTTTATGAGTAATTAAGATGGTTATGTAAGAATGACTAGGACGAATAATGGTGTGATTTACTTGAACAACTTGTTTTCTTTCTCTGCTTCCTTGATTAACCCCCGCAACTTGTTTCCTTTTCTATTTCTATATTCCTCATATGTGACAGAAAGAGGGAGAATATGCCTTTGTCCTTAAGATAAGTTATCTTATTAAATTTATATATGAATGTACAATTTTTTTTCTTTGATTATTGACTTTTCTGTATATTGTGTGTATATCAGGGAGGGATAAAATTAAAAAAATTATTAAAATTTAAGATAAAGTTAATGAAATTTAATATCTTTCTTAAATTTAATGAAATATATCAAAAGTGTCTTCTAAATAGAGTCAAATAACTATATTTTGATTTTTAAATCGATGAAAAGACTAGATAATTAAAGCTAATTTGGATCATCTTAGCATACTTTTTCTCCTTTTCTCCTCAAGTCCCTTCTCCGCCCTTAAATAATGGATAATTCGGATGTAATATTTTATAAAACTATTATTAACATATTTTATAAATTAATTTTTTTGTACTATTGGTATAAATTGTCCCTGAAAATACCAGGAGCTCTCTCTACAAGTCCAACCGATGACTCTCGGGTTACTGTACATGTCGATGGGGCATTTTCGTATAGAATGGGTATAGCAAGTTGTGGAGGAGTGATTAAGTGCTAACGATCAAGGCTTGAAGCCTTCACGTGTAAGGTGAACGCTAGAGATAGTGTTGCGGCTGAAATCTGGGGGTGCATATGGGGTTTACGACGGGCCTGGGAGAATGGTTTTCGTTCTATTGACCTTGATCTCTGTGACTCGGCAGAAGTTGTGGAGATATGCACTAGGAAAGATGTGGAACGACACGAGGTGCGGAGTTAATTCATGTCTTACAGACCCTGTTGGATAGGTATTGGTCTGTGCAGGTGCTTCTGGTCGCGAGGGAAAACAACGAAGAAGCTGATTTCTTCGCCAAAAGGGCCCTCTCAATTGATTATGGAATCCAAGTCCTCTCAGGAGAGAGTGCCCGCAGACTCCTGAAGGAAAAAGGCGTAACTTAGGAAAGCGATCGTTTTCTTTTCTCTTTTGTTTGTTCTTTCTAGTTTATTTCCTTTCTATCAAAAAAAAAATTGTCCAGATTTTTTTCGCCAATGTGTCCAGATTAAATTTTAATAGTTTAAATTTATTTATATTATAATAATATTTTATAAGATATTACATCTGAATTATCCAATTTTTTTTATCTAAGAGTAGTGTGGAAGGAAGTTAAAGGGGGAAAAAAGAGAGAATTCCAAGGGAACCTAGATGCATAAGAAGCAAGAGACCCATTTTGCGACGGATTTGAAAGTGGTGCGTGTGACATTTTATTTGAATTATATCATCAAATTTGGAAGTTGAGCAATTTCTCTCTAGATCAAAGGACTTATAGTTGTGTGTGTGTGTGTGTGTTTTTGCCAGCCTTACGGTTATATATAATTTATACATATAACACCACGGTACTTTTAGATATAAAAGAATATATTAGATTTTTGGGTCAATATGATTTTTGGTTCCTAAAGTGTGTCTCTATTTTAGTTTTAATCCCTCAAGTTTCAAATCATGGGTTTTGACCTCTCTAATTACTTTTCATTTAAAAAATTGATCCCTATAATTTAATAAAAATTAGACTATTTTGCCCCTAGAAGAACTAAAACCTATAACTTAAAACTTGAGGAGCTAAAACCAAAATGAGAGAAAGAAAAATGTTATATGTAGACAAATGTAGGAAAAATTACAAATAAAGACTCTCGAATTATAAAATTATGAAATGGGTACTTGAATCAACAAAATTACTGTTATAGACCTGATCTTAAATATAAATTATAAAATGTTAGGAAGAAGATCAAAATACCTCCTTCTTCTTCTCTTTCCTTTTTCTCTTCCTCTCCCTCTTTTCATCCTTCTCTTTGCTCTCCAATCTACAAACATGCAAGACTTCGGGTGCTATACTGCTTCATTGCACCCACAAATAATAATCAATACCTTTACACTTCTCCCTTTTGTATCAACAGTTAACTATGGCGTTAGTTCGATCTTCCTTATTAATCAAGATCGGTTTTTTCTCATTATTTTCTTCGTCAGTATTTCTCTGTTCAACTTGACTATGACACCTATCAGCACCGGGTTCATGAATTATATATAGAAGTAAGGTTACGTTTGGTAGAAAGCATTGAAAATGAGGGATTGGGATTGGGATTACAATTGAAAAAATCTATTAAGAGAGTGTTTAGTATAAGAGATTGTTTGATATATGGGATTAGTCAAAGCCATGTATGTGGGATTAGAGAATACCATGGGGGGAAGTGGTATTCCCCAATCCCACCTTTATGGGCATACCTAATCCCATATAACAAACAATTATTCATATTAAGTACTATTTTAATGATTTTTTCAATTGCAATCCCAATCCCAATCCCTCATTTTCAATGCTTCGTATCAAACGGGACCTATGTGTGTAATGATTTAGTAAAATTGTTGAATATGCAAAACAAGTTCGAAGAAGAAGCAGAAGTGTTCATTGTTAATGGAAGGGTTGATTTGCGGGTTTGACCTGCTGCGATCGAGAGCCAAATCTGGAACATTGATTGTTGAATTATATATAGATGCATGATAATTAAGTAGATACTAGAATTCCTGAATTTTCTTTCGACCGCTTGGAAAATTAAAGGAGACGATCACTCAGGTTGATAAACGATAAACGCTTTCTGCTATACCTATAGGAACATACACGCATAATATTAAACAGTTTAAGCGATATTTTATAGCTGGAGGCATTATTTTCACAATTTAATTCTCAATTGATAAATTTAGTATGAGAAATAATAAGTATTGAAAAGTTATTAACAATAACATAAGTTTTAGCAAAAATTGATATTATTTTCACAAATTAGTTGCCGATGACATGTCTAATATAGAAAATAACAAATGCTGAAAAACTATTCACAAAAACTTAAGATTTAGGAAAAAAAATTGGTATTATTTTCATAATTTAGTTTACCAAGGTGGTTTCTTTAAATTTTATCATTTTCAGTCTTTACTTATTTAGTGTTTAACGTTTTACTTCTTCGAGGAATAGTTTCGCTTTTTATATTGAACAAATGTGTTATTTATAGTTATGTTACTCTGCATTTCAGTTTTAATTTTTTAAAAAAATTTATGCTCGGGATTTGAAAAGAAGTTTTGAAAACGTTATTTGAACACCTTCATGACGGGATCATTGTTATAAAATATTCTTTAAAAGCTTTCATTGTTTGAAATAATATATATGTTTCTCTGTTTGCTAATGATAAATTGATCCCATGTATAATTGTGCACTTAATGAGATGAGTGAATACAGAACGTTAGTTACTAATCGTAGTACTATTATCCTTGGTATGCCATGATAATTTTCATCTCCATTGGAGACTTACCTTCAGGTTGCCCCGCAAACTTGCATAGTTGCAATGGAATGATTGTAGGCAACCAGATGTCTTTGCAAAGATATTCTTTTCTTTTTTTAATTTGATTATATTGTATTTTTGTGTTCTTTTTTATAGAGTATTATTAGTGAGATCATTTTATATAATTTAGATTTCAAATAATAACTCTCTGAGTTAATTTTTATTTAGATTTATTAAATTATATGAATTAAGTTTTTTCTGGTATAAAATGTTTTATTTAACAATATTGTAGAAGCTTAATGAGGTGTAGATCTCAAAGTCTACGCAAGCTGTTCAAGACCTAATTTCTTTAAACCTTTTTAAAGTCCTTAAAAAGGTTTTTGGTCTAACCACACCTTTGAAGGCTCAAACTTTAGCCTTAAAAAAAAAAAAAAGGCAGTATACAAGCTTAGGCTCTAGGCTTTCATTACAAGCTCCAATTTGTTTGATCTAGTCTGGTCTGTTTTCACTCTAAGTAATGTCATCTACTTCTAGTTGCTTTTAATTTGTTGGAAACCTTTGAACTAAACCAGAAATGTTATGTTAACTTTTTTGTATAAAAAAGAATTGTAAGTTACAGAAGAAACTAGACTTTATGATATATGAATTAACATTAATTTAGATTTTTTTTGTTTGTGGGTACTAAAAGAAGCCAAATGCCCAAAAAACTCAGCCATTACTAATGGAAAAATTACAATGAAGTTTTAAAAAATAAAAAAAAAATGCAAAATATGTCTTAAGTTGTCATTATCTACCCTGCAACTTGTCATTACAAGTCTTCCGATGTTATTAGACCTTTTAATAATTATTTCTTTTTTTAGGACTTGATTGTAATTTGCCCACCACTGGTCCTCACCAACATCCAAACACCAAACAGCCTACTTATGCCTTTCGAACTGAACTCACACAACTAGAACTTCCTCCCAAATCCTGCTTTCAGATTGAGCTTCAAACCATATTTCGCCATAGTGTCGGCATAAACGTTCAAATCTTTACTTGAAAATAACAAGTTTTTTTTTTGTGGACTGATATTTGAAAATAACAAGTTCAAAAAGGAAGGAAGCATATTTTTCTTTTTCTTTTTTTTTCACAACAGGAAACACATTTTCCCACAATTCACATAGGAAAAATAAATCCTGATAGTAAAATAACAAATCTAAAGTTGAGAATACTAATAATTTTTTAATACAAAAAATGATATTATTTTTATAATTTATCTAAAAATAATAAGTCCTAAATATAAAATGACAAGTATGAAGCCATAATAACCTAAACCTTAGGCAAAGCCCTAAATTCACTCACCTTCGTCGTTCCACGCCGCACGTCTCCGCAACTCGCTAGTCCTGCCCCGACAAAGCACCATGTGAGTTGATATTTATCCAACCCAGGTGAATTAATATATTTCTAAATTTTAATCCCATATGAAAAAATATATATTTAAATATAAAAACAACAAAAAAAAATTAAAGTAAAGATGATATTTAAAAATATACTTCTATTACACTATTATAAAAAAATTATATTTGTCATGCTAAAATTAAAAATTTGATAGCAAAAAAACACAGAAAATATAATACAATCTATTGTTAAGATAATGAATGTCAACTCTATTTTCCGAATGGGACCAGCTGGTTAAACCAATAAGCATCGGTTTGGTCCTTGGCCTAAAATTGACTGGTCAAAAAATCAGAGTAATCGGTTAAAAACTCATTAAAGCACGTAGAATTGGACAATTCCGCAAAGAAACCATTTGCAAACTTTGAACCAGCTCATAAAAAGAAGGGAGGGGGAAAAACAAACCCAAACACTTTTCTTTTTTCCTGTTAGGTATCAGACACTAAATGTTAATCTCTCCCGGTGAGAATTTGAACATTGGTTTACCACGTAGAGTGTTAATCCTTTCCGTCAGACTCAATCTTTTTTGATAACCTAAACAATTAATATAATTAAAATTTATTAAACTTTGAGTAGTAAGCGTAACTGTAGGCTCACTACACTTGGCAACTAATTAGCCTACATCCCATTTGGTTTATCTCCAGAACTGTTTCCGAAATTTTGGTAAAATATCCATGTCTGAAAATTTAATTGACAAAAAAAAAAAACTTAAATTTGAACCCGTCCAACTATGATCTGTAACTACAGCATATCTTCAACTTTATGCAATATATTTACCGCTATGTGCAAATAATTTTATATTGATGATTGTTACATATTATTGATGCTATGTTACACACAGTAGAAGATATGTTGCACTCACGGATCATAATTATATTTGCTTAAATTCATGTCTTTTTAGCCAATTAAATATTTGAACAGAAATTTTTTACCAATTTTCCCATTTGTTTTTGCTTTCGTGAGAAGATATTTTTAATTTATGTTATTCCAATTATTTATGTATGCTTTCTTAGTTTCTTTCATACTTTATCTTTTTCATTCAGTTCTAATATGACTCTAAAAATTGCTTGATTGTAAAGGCTTTAATTAAGGATAACTTTAAAAATAAGGGTTCTAAAATTATTATTAATAATTTCATTAATGTCAAATAATTTTAATTTCTTTTAAAAATAAGGGTTCTAAAATTATTATTAATAATTTCGTAAATGTCAAATAATTTCAATTTCTTATATAATTTTTATCATATAAGTAAAAATTATATTAACTTAATTACAAATAGTTCGGCTAAAATTTAATTATTATCCCAATCAGATGAGTTTGATAATCGATCCAGTTTTTATAAAATTGTTATTTTCTAAATGCATACTCATGTATTGGAAAAATAGTTGAGTGCTCCGCTGCCCATAGTATCTAGGATAGGGAAGAAAAAGAAAAATTACAATGAAACCCATGAAGAGAACATATTCGCAAAAAAATCTCATAATAACAACTAAGTATCTTGTAATAATAAATTCCAGAACAGAAAATAACAAATTTCAATCGCCACCTTGTCATTGACATTTTTTTAGTAATTATCTTCTTTATTTGAAACCCTAGTAATTCTCCCCAAAAAAAAAAAAAAAAAGGTTTCATCCACCAAAGCGCTTCCTAAAATACAAATGTCAAAATATAATGCCAAATACTTGATACACTTGACAACAACAATAGTGTCAGACCACAGACAAACAGCACATTGTAGAATAAAAGAATGTGAAACCACCAGATCCTCTTCAACTGGGGTTAGTGTGTTATAAGAAGCTTCTAAATGCAACATTTGTCACAGATGTGCGCACTAACACGAACTCCACTCTCTATAGGATTAGAAACACATGACAGACCAGGATCAACATGCCAACAAAAATGCTTATTTGGAAGATATTGCCAGTCCCATTAATGTGCTACAAAACGAGCAACCTAACAAGAGAATAATAAAGAGATGAAAAGAAGAGGAGGGGTGGTGTTCCTCTGAACACTCGAGCATGTAACCACTAACAACAGCAACATTGACATGGGCCGGTTAAGAAACTGGTCATCTGACAATTTAAAACTCAAATCTTTGTTGGTTACACGCTGCGACTATTCCAGCATCCAGTTGCTTCCATGACAAGCTATCGCATCGGTTGATCACTAAGAGACCAGAAAGAGAACATTCCCAACACAACTGAACTATCTCAAAACTGGCCTTCTGCCGCCACGATCAGCTCCCCTAAAAGCCATTTCAAGTGGCTGTGATGGAGTAAATCCCTGTGCCTCCATTATTCCTCGTATTCTTCGAGCATGCTGCACAAACCCACCCGAAAGGAGACTTCTTATAATTCTCTCAAACTCATCTTGTCTTAATTGATCCTTTCTAGCCTCGAGAACTCCCAGAGCTTGAAGGGCCTTTTTCTCATTTCCTAACCTTGCGTACATATCACAAAGACTCACTTGAATTTTTAAAGGAGGAGCCTCGCCCTGCTGAGCAATTTTCCCCAAAAGTTGTTCAGCCTCGTCAACAAGCTGCATCTTTGCGAACCAGTCCACAAGAACAGTGTTAGTGGCAATCCCAGGCTCAAACCCATCCTGCTCTAGCTTCAAAAGAAGATTTAGTGCCTTGTCCAATAAATTTTTCCTCTCATAAGCCGATATCATGCTAGCAGTAACCCTGTCATCAGGCTTAAATCCAACTTTTATCATGTAGTCAAAGCTAGTTCTGGCCATATCAGGGTTGTCTGCACGCTCATATGCCTCAACAAGCAATGTACAGGTCTCCATTGTGGCCTGAAATCCTGCAAATTGCATAGATGTTGAAATTCGTAAAGCTCCATTAACATCTCCAAGATGAGCAAATGATCGGAACAATGCAAGGTATATTTCATAAGACGGTTTCACTTCTCCTGTCTCCAGTTCCCTCAATAGAATCTCACCCATCTTAGGTTGGCCAGCATTTACATATGACATAATCATCGCATTATATATTTTCATGTCTGGTTGGACACCTTGGCTTCTCAAGCTTTCAAATGCTTCTTTTGCGCGATCAAAATTACCCGCTTTGGCATACATGTGAATCAACGTATTGGCTATTATAGCATCTGGAAGAAAACCATTTTCACTCATCTTCTTGAGAATCCTCTCAGTATCATCATATTTGCTCTCTTCAGCATAGACACTAATAAGCTTAGAATAATCCCAGATATTTGTTTGGAAAGACTTTTCTGTCAATGCAATTTCTGATACCTACAAGTATAAAATTTGATTAAAATAGCTAAATCCATAGACCAGAGTAACATTGGGTTCATTCCGGGTTAAAATTTGTTCACTTTAAAAATATATCCAAGTAATACATAAAAGATCTTTTATTTCATAAGCTACATATACAAGTATCTTCCTAGTTTCATCTGCATTAGCAAAATAAAATATCCATGTAATCATAAAGCCTCAGAATTTTGTGGGACACGAATCATCATTTCTATTTAATTGATAATCTACCCAAATTAGAGCTGCTCAAATCATTACCCAAGAAAATTAATTGGAAAAAAAAAAAGTTTTTAGTTCCTATAGTTAAGGTCAACTTGGATCAAGGTCCTAGTAGCTCTCTCATTAAGGAATCAGTCTCCAAGTTTTGGTCAACTTAGGTCAAAATCCTATTGTTACAAAACATAACTGCCACATCAGCAACGTGTCATCTCCAAGGATTGTGACAAAAGTTTATCATAATTTTAAGGATTGATTCCTCAACGAATAAACCATAGGACCCTTAACCCAAGTTGACCACATAAACAGAGGAACCAAAAATTATACTTTCCCAAATAAATTCGTTGTGGTGAGGGATTTATTAATAAACATTCTTAGCACCTCAAGCAGCATAAAATTACATGTGAAATTCTTGGACACTCTAAAGAAGCTTTGTTAACCAGAGACAGAAGGAACAAACAAAACATATCTCCTACCCAAAAAAAAAAAAAACAAAGGTGTTGAGCTGTTAGGTGGGAAGCAGGATGGTGAAGAAAAGATCTACCACAGTACCACTACCACTACCAGTTTGGACATCAAAGAACAAAGCAGTGCACATTCCAATCCCAACCATAAGATTCCACCGGAGTGGCCCTAGTTTTGGGAAGAGCCCCACATAAAAACATGATTTGTGCTAGCTATAGTCATGTTAAAACATGTCTTCCAGATTGAGAAGCCAAATTGGAAAATGGAATATAAAATTGGTGCTAAAGTGATGAAAGTAAGAAAATAAAGACCTTTATAATCTGCAATGTAATACCACAAATCTAGTCAACTAAAAACTGGCGGACAACTGCAATAACACAAAAAATATCAAAAACAACCTTCTATAACTGATTCCTCCAACATCTTCCTACTACTGTTATATCATTGCTAGTTCAAATTTCTCCATGCTAATGGAAAGAACAAATTGATGCCTATAGTTTGAGATACTCTAATGTTGAAAAAACAACAGAAAATTCCCTCATCAAGCAAAGAGGTCATGTACTTAGAATTGAATATTGCTCTTTCCAAATAATCAGCAGAATCCTCCGGAGAGATTTATACCATACAATCCATTTACCTCACAAAGTTCCATAATCCATAGCTAAAATGATGGGTTGCAGTAAAATAATCAGGCTAAACAGCCAATGCAACACTAGAACTATTTGCGTACCTTTAAGTACAATGGAACATTCTTCTCTTTCAATTTGTCAAGTAAGTTAACCCAGTCTATCCTGCTAGGTTGATGAATCTCTACCCACTCAGCTATCAGTGAAGACGGATCATCCATCTCATTTAATGAAATAATTTTATCAGTTATAAGTTTGGCTTTCCCAGATAGAAGTTTTGGCTCAGGCGGCCAAATGAGTTCCTCTGCCTCATGAATTCTGTCAGCAACTTCTGCCCACTTAGGATCAGAGAGATTAAGCCCATATATCTTGTAGTTTATCTTCCCCCGCCTCTTAGGGAGAGTAACAGTCTTAGATGTCTCCCCAACAGCATCAACCTTCACGCTATCTGTTTTCACATTTTCTTCAGCTTGTGCCTCTTTCCTCAGGCGCTCCAAACTCTCATAAAACTCATGTTCCTCCATTTTCTCACGCGCCCACTTGAATCTAAGCTCTCTAAGCAAAGTCCCACGGACACCAATTTCACCCGCAAACCTGCACATCTCCTTAACTTCTTCACACTGCAAAAAACCTTTCATCCTTTCCTTCTTCCGTTCCTTATTCATATCATCCAACACAGTATTGCTTACTTCCCAGACAGTCCTCCACAAATCCTCACTAAAATCTTGAGAAGCAGAGGCCGCCGAATTCATTATCGGCTGCAACCCGCCCTTTTCCAACTCTGACACAACCTTGCCAACGATGATCAATAGCATGCCATCAATTGTTTGCTTATCAGAGGCTGGATAAGCTTCAATGAGCTTCTTACGCATTATCCACACAACCTGTGATAGAAACTCATTTATTGCTACATTTGCCTCCTCGTCCTCCACCTTTGAAGTAACTTTAGGGTCAAATTCCAAATTGTTTGGTCTAGTTAGTGCAGTAGAATGAAGGTGTCTAGAGAAGGACGAAATGGAGTTCAGGCATCTATGTGACACAAAGGTAGTGAAGCCATAGCTGTGATCAAAAGAATGAACTGAAAGAAATGTAGGAAGTGCAGTGGTGGAGCTAGTTTTACAAACATCAAAGTAAAATAATGGTGGAGCTAAGCTGTGCCTAGGTAGTTTTTTGATGGCATGCCTGCAGAGTAAACTCCTCCAAACCATGTCTCAGTGATAAGCTACCAGATGCTTTTAGTCCTGCAGAAAGAGGTGAAAAATACCATTTGACGTGTTCATCAAAGTTATGGCCATCAGCCACACTGTCTTGATGTTGAAAAATTTAGAAAGAGATGAGAAATGGCTAATCTAAATCTAAATCTAAACTCAAATGAGGAAAGGAAAAGTTCAGATATAGCATATAAATCAATAAATCATACCTCAAGAAAGATGCTGGCCACGAGACCTGTGGAGAGTGACTCCAAGAAGACGTCGGTGACGGCTAGAGGGAGAGCAACAGAAGGTGATAATTTGGAGAGTGTTGAACGTGATGGGGTTTAGGTAAAGAATCAAAGGTTCAAAGCTACTATGGACTTGTACCCATAAAAAGCCACACCGTCTTGATGTTGAAAAATTCAGAAAGAGATGAGAAATGGCTATATAAAACTAAACTCAAATAAGGAAGGAAAAAAAAATTTTAAATTAAATCAGCAATCTGCATTGTGCAAGAACCACACCAAATAGTGCATTTTGTATTTTATATCCCCCGATACTCGCACAAGTTGATAAGGAAAAAGCTAGCACTTATTGTCTACATGCCCGTGTTCATTCTTTCCTTTGCCCTCATTAGTTTTCATTCCTTTTTTAGCTTTTCGACTCTTGAGGATCAAAGGGGCTGAGCCTAACATTCAAGGGTAGCGAATGAAATGTGGTTTTACTTTAATGTAAGGACAACCGAAACATTATTTACCAGTTGAATGAACAGCTTGCATAGCCCCTTGATATCAGCTTGGCTAAACTTACATATTAAACAAGTTGATTCCAAATTATTAGACTCACAAGCTATTGGTGAACAAAATCTGCTCGTTTAGATTTTTCAAAATTCCAAAAATATAATTCATATCCATCATCCTTAAGTTCATTTACAAAAATATGGTGTAGCGTTTTTTTTTTCCGGAAATAAATTAACAATTACAAAAAAAAATCAATTCGACACGCACATTGCCAGATCAAGTTTCAGCGAATCCTCCATCAAATAAGAACAAGAACACCCAAGGCAGGCAAATTTTAAACAAGTTTGAGCGCCATATTAATAACAGATATAAGATAATATGCATAGTCTCAAAAGGCTTGCCTCAACTGATTTACGCTTTCAAGACTTGAGAATTTAGAGACCGATTACAAGAATATCTCAAGAAATGCTCAAGAATACAAACCCCATATAGTGAAACAAATGATTAATAGCCACATAATGACCAATGATACACAGAGTAACATGATCAACAGCTAACTATATAGCATATAAACTAATAAATCATACCTCAAGTGAGACGCCGACGACGAGAGCTACGGAGAGTGACTCCGAGAAGGCGCCGGTGACAGCCAGAGGGCGATTTGCGTCGCAAACGTGCGGGGTTTAGGTATTGGAATCAACGGCTCAAATGGAGTTGTACCAAAAACAAAAAACTAGTATGGACTTTCTTTTTTTGTTTGCTTATGTTCGGGCCTGGAATTGGAATCCGTCCCTTCCAACAAAAAAGTACTCACGCATTCACTGATTTTAATTCCAAAAAAAAAATTAAGACGTTTGAACCATCGATTTATTTTTTATCCATTTTTACCAGTTCTTGTTCAGGCTTAATTGAATTGCCCAGATTTTTTGCAGTAAATAAGGGAATAGTTCAACGAATATAAAATACTATTATAATAATATTTCCTATCTTTTTTCATATCATACACCGAATTTTATAAGGGAAAATGACACATAAAGAAATTTGAAAATATGAAATGCCAATTTAGGAAGTTAAAGAAATGTAATGACAGAGAGGGAAGTCCTTCGCAAATGGGAATTTTGAAATTCAGTAAAATGAAAAGAATGCCCTTTATCTTTTTTTAAAAAAAAAAAAAACCTCAGCCTCTCACCGATGGCCGGCAACCACCACTGACGATTGGTCCCCGGGCACCAGCACTGGCCACCGATGAACTTTTTTTGCTACAGTATTTTTTTTTTTTTGCATGCTAGAATATTAGTTCGAAGTGGAGGGGGTGGGATTTGATCCCACAACCCCTTGGCTATTTGGGCCAACCGAAAAAAAAGATGACCATTAGGCCATCAAAAATTTATTAACCTTATAATACAAACAAAAATATAAGTTGATTCTTTTGCTGTGACTTCAGTTCGTGATAACAATTTACCTGAGGATGACAAGTCGTAATTGAAAAATAACAAGTTTAAATTTGATATTAACAAAGCAACTTTTCCTGATACATAACAAGAAGTAGCATGTACATCAATTAAAAATAATCATAATTTATTTGAAAATGACACTTCTTTACTGGAAAATGATAAGTTTAAACTTGAGATTGACAATATGTCTTTTCCTGATACATAACAAAAAATAGCATGTATATTAATTAAAAATGACCATAATGTATTTGAAAATGACACGTCTTTACTGGAAAATGACAAGTCTAAACTTGATATTAACAAAGCAACTTTTCCTGATACATAACAAGAAATATCATGTACATTAATTAAAAATGACCATAATTTATTTGGGAATATATATATTGTACATGATATTTCTTGTTATGTATCATGAAAAGACATATTGTTAATTTCAAGTTTAGATGTGTTATTTTCTAGTAAAGACGTGTCACTTTCAAATAAATTATAGTCATTTTTTAAAGACGTGTCATTTTCAAATAAATTACAATCATTTTTAATTAATATACATGCTACTTCTTGTTATATATCAAGAAAAGTTGATTTGTTAATATCAAATTTAGACTTGTTATTTCTCAATTAAGACTTGTCATCTTCAGGTAAATTATTGTTGCGGGTTGGAGTCACAGAAAAATAGTCTACTTATATTTTTGTTTGTATTATAATATTAAGAAATTTTTGATAGCCCAATAGTCATCTTTTTTTTTTGTTGGCCCAAATGGGCAAGCAGTTGTGAGATCAAATCACACCTTTTCCACTTTGAACTAATATTTTCCCATGCAAAATATATATATACCGTAATAAAAAAAGTTCACCGATAGCCACCACATCGGTGCCCGACTGCCGGCGGCCAATCGCGGGCAGTGGCTGCCAGCGGTCGGCCACCAATGAGGGGCTGAGGTTTTTTAAAAAAAAAAAAAGACAAAGGGTATTCTTATCATTTCACTGAATTTCAAAATTCCAATTTGGGAATTACTTCCCTCTCTGTCATAATATTTCCTTAACTTCCCAAATTGACATTTTACATTTTCAAACTTCTTTATGTGTTATTTTCCCGTTTTATAAATTTCTAGAAATATTTATTATTTATAAACTATGAGAAAGTCTCTAGCTCTACAATTTTTTCAATCTTTCTTTTTTTCCTTTTCTTTTTTTTTACCAGCTTTTTTTTTCCTTTTTCTTTTGCACTTTTATTAGGATTTGTTTGTTATGAGAGAAATGTAAGGGAGGGAGAAATTTTAATAAGCTTGATTTAAAAAAATTTGAAGAAATTGAGTTAAAATTTTTTAATTAAAATTTCTTTCTTTTTTATCTTACATCTTTTTTTAATCAAAATTTCAAAGCCCCACTTCTCCAATCTTGTAAATCAAGCTCATTAAAAAATTTTCTTTGCTCTAATTCCCTCATACCAAACTAGTATTTGAAAAACGGGCTGAAACCGATCCTTCACGAGCCGCAGGTCTAAACAGGATCACCATACAAAAAAGAGCCATTTTACTAAACCCAACCCTTGAGCTTGTGAGCTTAGAAATGTTATTGAAATTAGGTTACAAATACAAACATTATCATCAATTTAGTACTACTCTGGTCTTATATTTAGGACCGAGAGAGTAATATCTAAATATCTAGTAAGACAAATACTAAGTGAAAGACATTAAACATAAACAGAAAATCAATATTAACCAATATCATTAATGGTTATATACCAACTATATATATACTGCGCACACTCTTACAGGATCAAGTAGGGGATCTTTAATTAACCTTTGATTCAACACTGCAAGGGATGTTGTAATTCAAACCACCAAATAACACAAAAGAACTTAACATTTAATTAACAGACCAAAAATCAAACAGCTACATATGAAATATTGAGATTAATTTACCAAAGTGTATCTAATTAGAATCCTTAATACAAATAACGACATTAATATATTTCCCAAATTTTAACACCAGAGAGGCAATAGAAAGAATCTACATAAATATCACAAATGAAATCATAAGATAAATTAAAAAAATTTTAAAATAAATAACAGGCTTAAAGGGGCCCTTTTTAAACTTCGACCTTATAAGACTGGTTTTTTTAAGCTCAACTTCCCTCTAGAGCTCTCAAATTGGAAGCCTCACCCTCGATTTAAACGAGTCAGCCTGATTTTATCGTTTCCATACCAAACATAAGATTAGGGTTTAATTTGAGCAACTTAAGGATCTCAATCTCAACCAAAAGAAGACAACTCTTTGTTACCCAAAAAAAAAAACAGACAACTCTTTCAGCTCAAGGAAAAAAAAAAACAACTCTTGTTAACTAATTGCTTTGGAGAATCCATTAGCGTAATTGTGTCCGATTTGGTTTAGACTTCTTTTTACCATTTTTGGTTGAGACTACAAATTTTATATAAAGATGTTTCTGAAGTCGAACCGTCGATATAATTCAATGAGAGGTTCAAAAGATTAGTTTAATTTGTCCGTAGTCATGTTAATTTTTTGAGTTTTTTGGTTACCACTGTTTAATAATTTGAAGTCTAATCATAATTCATAACATTCAATGATGATTGATTAAGGTATAAAAATATTCAATTATTATATTTTCACTGTAGAATTTGACGGCAAATTAGAGACTTAAAATTTTCATAAAAAATAAATATTTCTACTCATACATATATATACCTAGTTTTAGTATTCATCATTGTGATGAGATTTGCACCATTTAAATATAATTCATTTAGTCCAAATTTTAAAAATTTAATTGATGATTTTTAAATAAAAAATCAGTTTTTGAGAAGCTATTAGATAAGAAATTATTTCAATTTTAAATTCTACACATTAAAATCATTTGTTAAAAAAATATAAGTTAAAAATTTACATCTAAACTCTATTCATCCGTGATCCAGATTTTGGTGCTCATCAATGAAGAGAACCAAAACTCTATCCAAAGATGTGGGTGTGTGTACGTGGGAGATAACTTTTTCCAATTACTATTATTTCGAACCTACACAATTACTACCTATGGGGTCTTATAATTAGAATAAGAGGTAGTATTATTTACACTGCAAACTAGTATTTATATTTAAAACTAAAGATGATTTTTTTTATTACATAAAGACAGGCTCTAATCCGCATCACAACACACACTCCGCTAACAAGCATATAACTATCACTCGGCCAAACAGTCAGGGGTGGAGCTAGTACATTCTTTCCGGAAGCATCACAGTACAAGTGATCACATTTTTCCAAACCCCAGGTACAATTTTTTTTTTTTTTGGACCAGCAAACCCCAGGTACAGGTTACATTATTTGAACACATAAACAATTGATAACAATATAGGAATAACCATTAATTAAATATCACAAACACATAATATACTAGTGACTTCTAGACTGAGATCATATATGTAAAACATTGTTTTATCTTTCTCAATGTGAAATTTATGTTACGTTTTATTTAAACCACATGCAGTAATCATTTTTATCTTGATATATTAAGAAGGGGAAAATTAGAGGGAAGGATCTAGATAAAATGATATTTATTGGAGAGAATCTTATAAAATGTAATTATTTAAAAAGATCAAAATCCAAAATATATGAATGTATAAATACTAACTTTGGTGTTTAATATAAGAACTAATAAACTAATTTGAATAAATTAAAAAAATTAGCTAAGTGATTGATTTGTAATAAATATGTATTGTCTTTCCTGAAATACCTTTGCTAATCATACCTATTAGCTAGATCTACCATTTGTTGAAATTTAATTTGTGTTAGTATTACGAGGATTACCTTAAAAAAATTGATAAATACAAGAGATAAAGTGAATTATGATCTTATATTTATGATCAAATAGAATGTCAAACTAGTTTTTATATTAAGTAGTAAGTGCCAAAAGTAGTACAAAATTGCCCCCCGTTAAATTCCTATATTCTCTCTCATCATATCTCAACTATTTGACAGTTGTGAAGAGAAATGATTTTTTTAATTTTTTTAATAGAAAAATTAAGGAAAAAAAATAAAACCACACTCTCTCCTGGTCTCCTTCCACCTTCTTCTAGACGATGGCAGGAAAGATCAGGATCTCAAGCAACTACGTTCTATCTCTCTCTCTCTCTCTCATTTTCTTCCATCTTCTTATCTCAATAAAATCTCCATTTCAAAAATTAAATGAGGCACTTCAAATCCTCACTAGGGGTGTTTACGGA